TGTGTTCCCTATCATCAGCTTCCTACTCCCCTTCTCCCCTTCTGCCTTCTGGCCAAATTAAACATTTTTAAAGTTAGATTCTGTAAAAGATAATAGAGGGGATATTTGGATACATATTTGAATTTGAATGCTGTTAGATGTCAAGTAAACTAGCCTCTTTTATCACCTAGTAAATTCAAACAAAATTTTATTTTTACTTAAGTAGGTAGAACAGAATTAATACCAGAGAGAGAACTTAAGAAGAAAAATTTCCTGTAGGTGTATAGGTGCTGCGCTTATACTAAAACATAGGGTTCTGCAACTTTTGAGTACTTTCCAGCTGTGGTTGTTGTTTATGACTTTTTACAGTCTGTTTGCTTTACATTCTTATATGAGTGTCAAGGGAGTTAACATTAGTTTATCTGAATTGACAGGTGCATAGAATTTAACTGTTGATGCATAGTTGAACTCTTGGGGGAGGGGAAGGGAACAGAAACTTGCTTTTATCATGTATCTGTTAGCATTGATAGAACATACTGTTTCTTTTGGCACAAATTTCTTTTCTGGAGCTCTCAGTATGGTGTTAAGAATTGAAAATGTAATAGTGAATTATCATCCCTGGAAATAGTCCTTCCAAAATGAGTTTGGAGGAGTAAGATGGGATACAGCTTGCTCTGTTTGCTGAGCAGACAAACACTGGAGACTAGGTAGAAAACTTTATGCTAGAGCTGTAACTTTTTAAGCCTGGCCATCACTACAGTGCAGGTCTTTGAGTGCCTTTACTCAGCTGACACTCATATTAGCTCTGACAACATCATTGAACCAGAGGGATTCAAACAGATTAGAATTTCCTTGTGTTTTGCTCGGCCCTGCATGCAGACCGTTGTTCTTTGAGTAGTTACTTTTATAATCTTCCCGCATTATAAGGTCACAGAGTTGCAGATGAACATCCAAAGAAATACTTGAAGAAAAGTTACACTTGCATGAAAAAGATTGTGACTTGAAAAATATGCTGGTACCTCCACTAGTCTAAATTAAAGGAAAAATGAATAGGAAGTCAGGAGACCTGGGTTCTTGTCCTTGATCTGCTGCTTAATTAGTGTGATCTTAGGTAGGTCATTTTAACATCTCTGGACCCCAAATATCTTAATTTTTTTTAGAAAAGAAAGGTCAGAGTGGTTGATCTCTAATTTTCTCCTAACTGTAAAACTCCCTGCCTGTACAAGGAGTACTCTGTGAAATATTTTCTTGTAATCTAAGGTGGCTATGTTTGGGGTTACAGTTAGAATCATCAGTTAAGAGTGGTGGTGTATACTTTTGTTTTCTTAGTTTGAGTATAGTGTTTTATAGTAGTAGATAACTCATTCTGCGGAGGTTAATTGAAGTTCTTGGAATGCCATTTTGAATTTATTGTGTATCTTTCATATTTTAGGAATGTTTTAGTTTTGTACTTGTATCCATAGTAATGTAATCACAAGTATGTGACTTAGAAAATAAAATATCCATAAGAATATCATAAAAAGAAGAATTGCAGGTAGAAGAATAGGCTTGAAAGTTTGGAGGCCTAAGTTCTTTCTTATCTCTATCCCAGTTTCTTCCTGAAAATGGTTCTGTAATCATTCTCTTTCGTGCCTTTTTCTGTCTGACCACCTTCTTCTTTCTTAGAGACTTCTGAATAAGCATTTATTAGTGGCTTGGTGAGGAGACAAATGAAAGAACTAGACCTTGTCTGGGTTTTCAGAGGAGTTTATGATTATGTTGACACTCTGACTGAGACAGCTATAAAGATGACTGTGTTTTAAAGCAGCAGGCCTAAAATAATAATAAAAATTCTGACACTTCTTTTTCTTGCCTGGTTTTTTGTAGGAATTAATATTTGAGGAAGAGGAAAGCTGTATGAATCAGTAACCTTTAGATGCTTTTGTACTCTTGAGGTAGTGATGTGAGGAATAGTAAAAACCTTAACAAGAAATGAAAGGGTGGGATTTATACATTAGTTGAGTCACTAGGCATTGGGGTACATTGGAAAGAACACTGGACTAACAGAAACTTGTGTTTGAATTTGGGTTCAAGTCATTTCACGTCTCTGACCCTCTTCCTCATTCCTCATGGGTAGTAACAACTACTCAGAGTTGTGAGGAAACGGAAATTGTGAACTGGTGTCCTAATTGAGGGCCAGTTCGTATGCTTTGGATAGAAAGAATTTTAAATCCTCAGAGGAGAATTTTGGTAAATATCCTTTACCCGTTTATAGATATACCATATTTAAGTGAAGAATATATGTGAAAGTTCTAACCATCAAAGCAGAAAAACAAGGAGATCCTTGGGAACTTTATGAATAGAGTCTGTGGAAGGAAGGCTTCTTTAAGTACTGGGCTTAATCATTTAAAAATGACTTGAGTTAGAAATATCTTACTATCCCAGAAACTTTGTGGAATCCAGTTTTGAAGAAAGAAAAACTACACACTTGATTTTTGAATCTCTGATTTTCGAAACTCTTGGTGCATACTTCTTTAGATGGCAGAATTTAGAATTGGTCACATTTCAGATGTTTACACTTATAACAAATGCATTCTTTACTTCTGGCATTGTGTTTACTGTGCTATCAACTTCTAGTTCATTTTACTTATGTTTCCCTCCCCTCCCACCAGGTTTTTCGTTGGAATATACGCTGCACATTTATGGCGATTCTGAGCGTGAGGGCAGACTTCTGCCAGGCTCAGCACAGCATTTTCGCTGACAAGTGAGCTTGGGGGTTCTATGTGCCATAATTAACCTTGCCTTGAAGACTCCGGACACCGAGACTGGCCTCAGAAATAGTTGGCTTTTTTTTTTTTTAATTGCAAGCATATTTCTTTTAATGACTCCAGTAAAATTAAGCTTCAAGTAAACAAAAGTGGAAAGTGACCTGCACTTTTAACTTGTCTCACTAGTGCCTAAATGTAGTAAAGGCTGCTTAAGTTTTGTGTGTAGTTGGATTTTTTTGGAGTCCGAAGGTATCCACCTACAGCCGTTGAGGCCCAAATTGAATTTGGATTCGAGTGGATTCTAAATACTTTTGCTTATCTTGAAGAGAGAAGCTTTTTAAGGAATCTAACAAGTTGAATAGAGAAAACACTGATCGATAATAGGCATTCTAGTGTTCTTTTTAATGTTTTCTGCTGTGAAACAGTTCAAGATTTATTGATTTTTTTTTTCATTTCCCCCATCACACTCACACACACGCACGCTCACTTTTTATTTGCCATAATGAACCGTCCAGCCCCTGTGGAGATCTCCTATGAGAACATGCGTTTTCTGATAACTCACAACCCTACCAATGCTACCCTCAACAAGTTCACAGAGGTAAGTTTGTAGCATGGTCTACTTTTTAAATTGATTTATAGGTAAAATCTCATTAAAAATTAACACTGTTATAAAGAAATCTGGATGCTTGGTGGGGCAGTGGTTAGGAACTTGGCTGCTAACCAAAAGTTCTGCAGTTCCAATCTACCAGCTGCTCCCTGGAAACCTTATGGGCAGTTCTCATATGTCCTGTACAGTCACTAGGAGTCGGAATTGACTCGACAGCAACAAGTTTTATAAAGAAATCTCATATTACAAAGCCATTTACTTTGCTGATTGTCATGTGGGTGGTTATATTAGCAATCCTTGGTTGAATTGGGTTGAATTAGTAGCAACATATTTTTAAAAGAAGAACATTTTTAGAATTTGGGGGGACTTTAGAGATTATCTAGTACCATATTTTTTCTTGTATCCTTTTTACATTTGTCAACAGTTCTTTTGTGATACTTTCAAATAATAAAAATAATATTTATTGAATACTTAGTATTAGGCACTATGTATGATAATTAACTTTATGCATGGTATAATTTACTTCTCACAATAACCCTGTGAAATATAGGTACCATTATTCTTTCCCTGTTACAGATGAGGGACCTGAAGTTCAAAACAATTTAGTAATTTGTCTAAAAGTGCACAGTAAGTGTAAGAACAGGGGTACTTAACCGTGGTCTCTGACACTAAAGCCCATGTCCTACCTCAAATATTCCAACCACGCTTGGTGAAGAGCCACCCCGAAACTACACAGCAACAGTAATCATCATATATAGGGTTCAGAAACTTGGGGAAAGAAAAGGTGTTAGGTAGCATTTTTTATTTGATTTCTTTTGCTTTATTTATGGAGTAAACTTAGAGTGCTGGATTCTAAGTCCACCCCTCTCATTTTACAGATGAAAGAGGTTTTGACTTGCTTAACGTCACAAATACCATAAAAAATTCTACCACAACGTTTCAGTGAACAGTTACTATGGAGTTCATCTTAATGGAATTTTAGTGGCATTTTGAAACTTGTTTTTAAAATTCCTCACTCAATATAATACTTCCAGCTTTCCTAAGTGTCTAGTATAAGAAAGCTTTTCTGTGAAAAGTAAAGTCCTTTAGCAATTGAAATAACTTTACTCCTTAGATAACTGAATGATGGACACTTCTTACAGATTATCACTGTTCCTGTTTATTTATAATTCCTTAACTTTGTGTACACAGTGTACAAGTTGATTCCAGGCCTGTATGCACTCAGGTTGTTCAGTCACCTTGAAGCCTGGCTGAATTATGTGATACTATTTTCAGCCTCTGGATTCCTTGGCCATAGACTCCAGAAGTGGCAGAGGCCACTGTCCTGCAACTATAAAGGTGTTGGTGGTCCTTCAAGATAGGTAGTCTCTGTAGAAAGGATTTTAAAACAGAAAGACTTCTGGCTATAATTGTGTGTTAGCTAGCTTTTTAATACCATTTTTTTTTCCTTTTAATTTCAGAACTACTTTTATTAATTTTTAAATTAAGAAATGTTTAGTGTTTATTACATAAAAATCAGAAGATACAGATTAGCAAAAAGACAGTTTAAAAACACCTGACTCTTAATACCTGGCTTCCAGAGGTTTTTCTCTGCATATATGTATGTATTTATAAGTATACATATAGACAGGATTACACTGTACATTAGAAAAAAAAAATCATCTCCCCAGCCTCCTTAGGATTTTTTAAATAGCCATCATAGTATTCTACTGTATGGATGTACCATAATTTATTTAATCATTCCCCTGATTGTGGACAATATTGTTTCTGGCTTTTTGTCATTCCAAACAGCTGTGGTGAATATACTGGTACCTGAATTTTTATGTATATCTTTAATTATTTCCTTAGCATAAAGTCCCAGAATTGGAATTTCTAGATCAAAGTGTATATGCACTTTTAAAGTTTTGTGTTATACCATCAGTTTGCCCCATAGAAAGGCAAGTCTTATTCATAATCCCACCAATAGTGCATAAGTGCCCTTTGCTACAATGAGAATTATTTTGATCTTTGTCTATTTAATAGGATAAGAATGATATCTTGTTTCAATTTATAATAGTATATTTCTGACACTCTGGTTGCAGATTCCAAAAGCCAGTCCCTTTGTATTTGTTTTTCTTTATAAAGGAACTTAAGAAGTATGGAGTGACAACTTTGGTTCGAGTTTGTGATGCTACGTATGATAAAGCTCCAGTTGAAAAAGAAGGAATCCACGTTCTAGTGAGTGTGTAGTGTTTTTAATTTTTCACCACAAACAAGTTGTATCTTTTGAACAGATATTTATAAAACTTGACACTTACTAATTTTGCCTTTTAAGCTTATTATAATAGGAGATGCACTGTTCATAGCAATCTTTTTAATTTTAAATTCCTTTGGGTTAATAATTTGGCAGTTTAATTCATTGTGCCCTTAAACTCTGCAAATGTAGAGTATTTTCAACACATAAAAAGCAAAATTTAGTGTACACTTATTTCAAGAAAATGGAAATTTTCGTTTTCTTTAGGAAACTAATGCAATATTTAGTTTCTGTTTCAAGGATACTGGTTTGAATCTAATTGGAAGTAATTTCCATCAGGCATTCTTTTGTTTTAATAATATTGTGCTTATGGTGAAAGTTTACACTGCAAATTAGGTTCCTGTTTAACAATTTCTACACAAATTGCTCACTGATACTGATCACATCTTTCACAATGTGTCATCATTCTCATTCATTCTGTTCTGGTTGTACCATTTCCAGCACTCTAGTTTCCCTGCCCCCTTACCTTCTCATCTTTGCTGTAGAGTAATTTTTGACTATTAGGTTTCATTTAGATGATTTTTTAAAGGAGCTCATTACTCACAGGTGATACTCTTTATTTTCTGAGCCAATCTGTTATTTAGCTAAAAGGTGACCTCAAGGGATAATTTTGGTTGAAGGTTTAAAGAGTATCTCAGGGTGATAGTCTCAGGGAGTCCTCTAGTCTCAACTGGCCCAGTAAGTCTAGACTTTTTTAGAATTTGAGTTCTGTTCTACATTTTTTTCTGTTGTATCAAGATCCATGTATTGTGGCCCTGATCAGAACGGTTGGTGTAGTGGTAGCAGAGCACCATCTAGTTCTTTTGATCTCAGGACAGATGAGGCTGTGGTTTGTGTAGACTGTTAATACTGTAGACTGCTTTCTTTTCTGAGTATTTGATTTCCTCCTTTCTCTTTTGTTCTGGGTGAGTAGAGACCAGTAGTTGCATCTTAGATGGCCACTAGCAAGCTTTTAAGATTCCAGACACTACTTACCACACTGCGGTGTAAAATCCATCAGACATTCTTTTTTTATTTTTTTTATTTTTTTTTATTTTTATTTTTTATTTTTTTTATTTTTTTAATATTTTATTGTACTTCAGGTGAAGGCTTACAGAACAGATAGTTTCTCATGTAACAGTAACACACATGCTGTTTTATGACATTGGTTAACAACCCCACAACATTTTAGCCCTCTAAGTTCTCAACTTTTTTTTTTTTTATGAAAATACACATAGCCAAAGATACGCCATTTCAAAAATTTTTTTTACATACACATTTAAGTGACATTGACTACGCTCTTCTAATTGTGCTGTTATTCTCACTTAAGATGAAGGCTTACAGGACAAAATAGTCTCCCATTTAACAGTTACTACAAATGTTGCCCTATGACAATGGTTAACAATCTCACAGACATTCTTAACTTACTGATGGACATATTCTCTCCCACTTTGCAAGTAAAAGATTAGTTAATGAATATTTTGTGGATAACTTCTAGGGGGAAAAAGGTGAGGGAAAATGATAAGAAGGAGAGGGAGAAGACAGCTTGTCGCAGAGTAATCAGTATAGTTCTGACACTTTTTTGGTAGGTTTCTGAGAAGTTTGTATGTGATTAGATTTCTTTCATAGTTACAATTGAATCGTAAACTGATTGGAATTATTTTAAATTATTCGTTTAGTATTTAAATATACTGTTTCATCATAGAAAACAGGAGCCTCAGATAAGGTAGAAATTTTTATACCTTCTTAAATAGCTGTCTAAATTGCAGGAGCAGCTTTTAGAAGCATGTAATGAAAATGACCTTACAATCTTAGGTGCTTTAGAGCTGTTTGATTTGATTGTGGAAAGGCAAGAAAAGGTAGGAAGAGAACTGGGAATTCTTAAGTAGATAGGAGGAAAGTAATAAGGAGGTATTGGTACAAGGTTGTGTTCCTACTTCATATTGATAGATAGTTCTGTAGACTTTATTATGTTGGTCAGTGGTTGGGAAGGCAGTTCATGCAAAGAGAATAAATGTCCTGTTGGTAAGGCAGTCACTTCACATATGATAAGGTTTCCTCACCTCCTGTTGAAAAACACAAAAACTGAATAGCTAAACATTATATTTTTTAAAAAATGTGTTTTAATAGTATGGCATGTTAATAATTTGTTTGCATTCCCATTTCTAAATGATGTTAAGGTCCCTGGGTTAGGGAATTGCTAGGGATTATTTTAAACGTATAAAATGCAGCCATGTTTAAAAAAAGACAAAACAAAATTTAAACTTCTGAAATGGAGTTGAATGCAAGTTCTTTTTCCTGTGCTTTGACAATGTTCTTCATTGGGCAGTTGAGAAGTCAGCTTGTTGGACAGATGACAGGGTGAGAAAATAAACTGTAGATTGACCGTGTTCTGTTTGAACCAGTAATGTTGGCACACACCTTTGTGAAATGGAAATTAACTAAAGAACTTGAACTACTTTGTAGAAGATAATGGTAGGTCTGAGATTTACTCCAGGCCTTTAAATCTAGGTTTTTGTTTTATATAGCTGTGATCATCAGATAAAATTAGAGGTCTAACTTAAGCTTGGAAAAACAAGGATATTTAGAGTTAAGCCCGGAATTTCTCTCTTTTTCCCAGACATAGAGATTTTAAGATAGATTAATATACTTTTGCTAGGTGAAGAGGGTTTAGGGCACTTGATTATGAGAGAATATCCCCAAAATAAGACCTTTCTGTCCTTAGAATGTTCTTGCAAATCTAAGACACGTTGGAATAATGGTGAACTAATGGTATTTTTTTGGCGCCCTGGTGGTGTGGTGGTTAAGAATTCGGCTGCTAACCTTTTGGTTAGCAGTTCGAATCCACCATTGCTCCTTGGAAACCCTGTGGGGCAGTTCTACTCTGTCCTGTAGGGTTGCTATGAGTTGGAATTGATTTGGCAAATGGTTTTTTTTTTTTTTTAATGGTGTTTTCAGCAGTGTCAATTTGAGGTTCATATGCTTCTAAATTATTTAATGATGTATTTGATAGAAACTCCTTATATGAGTAAGTGAAGTATGTTTTATGTTACTGTTTCTTAACTAGATATATTTTAGGGAGTTATTAGAGGAAGAAACCTCTCAACTAAGCTGCCTATTGGTTTTACTGCTATTTAAAGTCAAACTTTGGAATAGTGACATTTATTATAATGATAACCACGACAGCCTTTTAATTATTGGGCGTAGTTGATACTCAAACATAATGTGCTATCCTGGCTAATAGGCTACATGAAGTGCTCTGGTAGTGCTGATAATGACTGCGAGTCAATTTAGTGCTCTGTCATTTTTCTCTTTTTTTCTCTAGTATCTTAATGTATCCCTGTTCAGTCTCATGAGAAAAGACTTACATTTTTTTAAAAATTCCGAGTGTTCTTAACATTTCTGTCCCTTAAGCTGTGTGGGTGAGAGTGGGTATGTGAAATGTGAATTCCCCTCTTCCTTCCTTCAAAGCTGTATTTATGTTGCTTTCTTTTTACCTCCTGCTAGGTAGCAAGGACGATAAACCCCTGACTGTACTTTGAATGCACGGGTTGGCCTTAATTGAAGAACAACTTAAGTCGATGAATACAAAAAGTTTTTTTTTTTTTTGCTCAGGATCCTATCATGTAGCATTGTGCTTGTTAAGTGGGATATGTTTAACATAGGCAGAGCTTTAAAAATATTTGGCATTGGTGCTTTTTTTTTTTTAAATGCATAATCATAGACAAAGATGGTATATTTCTGTTATGATCTCCTAACCATTGAAAATCTCTTATCAGAAAGCCTTTCTCCAAAGAAAAGTTGTTGTAACTTAGAGCCATCTGGAGGATAATCCTCAAAAATATTTATAGACATCAATGAAACACTAGTTGGTACAGTTTTTTGTCAGAGTGGACTTTAAAATCATATTTATATGTGTTGTATCATCTCTTACTTTGCCTTGGCTTCAATTACAGTTTTCGGTATTATATCTAATTAGTACTATACTTGGGTATAGTATTTGGGAGACTGTTAGCTTCTTATCACTCTGATAAAAAAGATTTCTGTACAGTACAATTAGGTGCTTACAATACTGACTGTCTTTCATCAAGAAGGCTAATTTATTTGGCAAACTTGAATTTAGACCTTGGACCATTTTTCAGTAGCAACCAGAACTATGTTTTTAAGAATATGTAATAATGGTACGGTTAAAATTAGGCCTGCCTTGTGTACTATGTGCAGCTATTGGGCATTAGGATGTTAATCCTGTAGAAAATATCAGTTTAGTGTAAGAGGTCTTTTCTTTCCAGGATTGGCCATTTGATGATGGAGCTCCACCCCCTAATCAGATAGTAGATGATTGGCTAAACCTATTAAAAACCAAATTTCGTGAAGAGCCAGGTTGCTGTGTTGCAGTGCATTGTGTTGCAGGATTAGGAAGGTAAGTTTACTGTTTTGTCTGTGAATTCATTATCATGCCTAAGCCAGCTTACAATTTTACTTTGGTATTTATTACATTAAATAATAATAAATTACCTAAAAGGAAAGGAAATGAGAGTAAAAATTGGTGTAATGATTTCTCAAAACAGTTTTTTGTTTTGTCTGGTTGTCTGATTCTGATGCCATAGTAAGTTTAGTGAGTCATGGTTCAGAAGTTGTTTCGAAACTGATTTAATGTAATTATCTTATTTTTGAGCTAAAAATACAGTCTTAATTCAGTATGTTTTCTTTTTCTCCTTTCAAGTCATCAAAGGTTCAGGTCATTGAAATGGGTAACAAAATTAAAGTCATTTTAGAGTTTGAAGGACCTATACATGGTTTATTCTTGAACTGAGATGAATGAGAGTTGTTAGAGAGCAGATGGCTGAACTTTAAACTCTTGGAAAGGAGATGTATGGAGAATGAGAATGGACTTTGATTTTAAAACCCTTTTTCTCTAGCATTGCATGGAATGGTGTTGCAGCGCTCATCGGCAGCAGATTAAATGCCAATTTATGATGTGCACTTTGACTCAAAACATTAGTTCAGTCTGCTGTTGCTTCTAGGTAGTGGTGACTCAGGCTGTTAGCTGTGCTCAAAGCTTTTGTTTGCTATTTTCCTTTTTTGCAATTTTGTATAGTACATTTATTTTCTTAAGGGTCAGAATTTCAGTCCTTATCTTGAAACTGAGGGTAGTGTTGTATTGGGGCAATTTTATAACTAGTAGCTATCCTAGTTTAGGTAGTCCAAAGTTGGTGCCCTGTAATTACTTTTTGAAAAACATTATTTCCTTTGTTAGAGTTAAAAAAATAAATACTAACATAGAGAACTGTTTCTGATTAATTCTCTGGCACTCTCCTAGCTCACCGAAAGGATTTTGTTAAAGAAGTTGAGCACCTTTTTGGTATTTGGTGAGAAAATGTTACTAAAATTGATTTGGAATGAAAATACTGAGGCACTTGAGATAATAAATTTGGTCATTTATTTTAGAGACCAGAGAAGAATTTTTGATTGATATATGATGATGAGAAGATTTTTACTGTAATGTGGTGATGTCTTAAAGAGTAGAAAGCTCTAAATATAGGATTAGAATTTAGTGCATAACTGAAAATAGAAAATACCATAGAACCTATAATGGTAGAGATATTTTTACTGTAGGAAAACAATCAAATATGTACAGGAAAAAGGAAAGCTCAAAGGTTAGCTTTGCTTTGGTAGTATGTAATGTAGGGGTTTTTGTTTTGTTTTGTTTTTTTAAATCCTTTAATTCTAAAGGTTTGTGAACATTTACAAATGGGTTTCTCTCTGCAGGGCACCTGTGTTGGTTGCACTTGCTTTGATTGAATGTGGAATGAAGTATGAAGATGCAGTTCAGTTCATAAGACAGTGAGTATGGAGTTTTATGTTCAGAAACACATAAAGTAAGATCACACGGGAAGAATTTTGGAAAGTATCCATTTGTATAGGATAATTTGCTGTTTTTGGCTTAAAACATTGTTGGAAGATATAAAAAATTAAGAACAAGGGTAAAGAGACTCAATACTACTGGCTCACAGATTTAAAGGTTTTGCTAATTTGGGTGACAAATTCAGGCATTATAGAATATGTCTGGTGTATTATTTGAGTATCTAGGAGTCTCGAAAATGAATAGCTAGGCAGTAGAGTCTCATTGCTCTAGTGTCCCTTTTCATGGATGTCCAAGATACTTTCCAAATGTAATTCTTAATATCCCTTAATATGACTGAGAGGCAGGGAAGAATCTACAGAGGAGCAGTTGATCACAAGGACTCTTAAATGACCTGTTCAGGCACAAAATCAAGAAGGGTGGTACCCAGACAGCATCTTGGCATCAGTCTAGAATAACGGGCCGTACATACTATTTTGTTGTTCAGATTTCTTTGGCAGTTATTATCTTGTCCATTCCTTTTCGACCCTTTCGTTTAAAAAAAAAAAAAAAATGACTGTTTGTGACAAAACCAAAAAAACCAAACCCATTGCCATTGAGTTGATTCTGACTTATAGTGACCCTATAGGACAGTAGAAACGCCCCATAGGGTTTCCAAGGAGCAGCTGGTGGATTCGAACTGCCGACCTTTTGGTTAGCAGCGGAGCTCTTAACCACTGGGCCACCAGGGCTCTATTTGTGGCACATTTGTACCAGAGGGCATTAAATATACGGTAGCAGCTCTAGGAACATAACATATTTCAGAGATTGCTATTTATATATTTTGAGAAATCTTCTTTATCTTAGTATTGTTTTCTTTAACATCCTAAATATTTGCTACCAATTCTAATTTGAAGAATATATTAATCTAATTGGGAAGAGAATAGTCAGATATCTGTGGATAAATCATTTTGATCTTTATTAAACCATTAATGGACTTTAGTGAGAGTAAAAAAGATGTTTGTTCCTTCTTCTAGGAAGGTTCAGAAAGTTGATGTTTCAAATCAGCGATTTCATTTTAAGAAATGGGGTGGTATGGGAAATAAGCTGTTTTCAGCTGTGTGGAGTTAGTTAGAAAGGCCTTAGGCCCTAAAGAATGCATTCCAGTGAATCAGGCTGCTCTTTTTTTTACATGATAAAGTTACCCTTCTTGTATTTTCAGAAAAAGAAGGGGAGCATTCAATTCCAAACAGCTGCTTTACCTGGAGAAATACCGACCTAAGATGCGATTACGCTTCAGAGATACCAATGGGCATTGCTGTGTTCAGTAGGAAGAAATATAAACGAAGGCTGACTTGATTGTGGCGTTTAGAGGGAACTCTTGGTACCTGGAAATGTGAATCTGGAATTTTAACTGTGTTATCAAAGTAGTGATGGATTCAGTACTCCTCAACCACTCTCCTAATGATTGGATAAAAAGCAAACAAAAAATCCTTCTATAACGTGAATAAAATGTGTAAGAAAAGAAAAAGAGAAAAGAAAAAGGGATTAATTCAGTGAAGGATGATTTTGTTAGTGTTGGAGTTTGAATTTCTGCCAGGAATGAATTATTTCAAAATCTTCTTTTTTAATTTACAAGATCGGTCTCTAAGGAAAATCAGCAGAACGTTAGCCTGTGCAGAGCCATCTGTTTGGGGAGCACGCTCTTCCATTATGTTTGGCACATAGATCTCCCTGCGGTGGGATTTCTTTCTTTTTTTCTTTTTTTTTGAGGGGGGGGTATATTTTTCCCCATCTTCTCTTCTTTCTCCCTATCCCCACCCCCTTTTTTCCCCTGATACAAGTTGTAGATGGAATAGGAGAAGTCCTTGTTGGTGTAGATGTGTGTGCAGTCTGGCAGCCTTAAGCCCACCTGGGCACTTTTAGGGGAAAAAAAAAGCAGTGGCATATATCTTATATGATCCAGGTGGTTTTTAGTCTTTACTGATGATGGGGTATTTGTGTTAGCTTCTTTTCCTGAAAACGCTATCCAACATTAGGCAAAGTAGCCAAGAGCCTTCTTGTTTTGGTAAATTAGTAGGGAAATAGCATTTTAAGAAAGAAGTCTCTCTTCTCAAGAACTTAGCTGAGAGTCAAATTCTTCCCTCTTCCAACCAATGAAGCTAAGTGGGTGTCTCAGAAACCTTTGTTTTCTGAAGGGAGGACTCCAGGTCATCACTAAAGGAGTGTCCAGGCAGAGAGTTAGCACACTTTCTACACCTCGTAGAATTGTGGGCTGTAGCATTACTCTGATTTTCTGTCTAACATTGTCACAGAATGCTGGTAGTTCAAAATTTTTATTTTAGGACTGATTTATACTCTGAATTTCAGAAACGGTCAAAGGAGTAGCAGCAAAGACTATATTTTCGACTTGAGAAATGGCTATGATGGGTATTTTCCATATTGCCCCCTATAGGTACAGTTCAGTTTTACCACTGATTGCCTTGTTATTTTCTTACTAGGTTCTTTTTGAGATTTAAAAAAAAAAAAAGATCGCTGGTTCAAAACCAACAATGCCTAGTGAGTATGTGTCCACAGGCCATAACAGTAGAAGAGAAACATAGAGCAACCCAACGAGTAGCGAAGAGACTGTGTTGCTTGTGAAGTGGTGTAGTAGTGTTTTTACAGTTTCTTTACTGGGTTCAATGTGCTAATCCAGACAAGCTGTTTTTCTGCCCCTTTGCAGGGGCAGTTGTGACTGGGCTGCATTGACAGAACAAGTTGAGGGGCACCATCAGGGGCTCTTGCACTCTTTTCACCTAAATATTACGTATTTAATAGTGGTCTGCTTCTAAGGCTCTGAATACAGGCTTAGGGTCGTCTTGTCCTGCTGGAATTTGCTGTGCAGAGCCATAACTTCCTGTTTTTTTTAGGATCAGCTAGGCCAGTAGGAATGGACTGGGACCGTGTCTCACACTGATGATACCTCAGATGTCGGCCGGCTTTGTGAACTGCCTGTTTCCTATTGCCGGAGTTGTTTTGATTTTTAACTAAATGCAAATGTGTAGATTCTCTTCTTCCCATCCCAGAAAACAAAACAAAATAATGCTTTTTGAAATTGTTACTAGGATTTTAAAGTGAAAATGATGGTACTCTCCAAAATTCTTTATTTCAGAACATGACAATAGACTCCTTTCACATAGGCTAAAGATCAAAACAGCATACCCCCTAAGCTCAGATCGACTGTCGACTCCAAGGGTTTTGATCAGTAACCATAACAAACCTTTTCCCTTTGACATGCTCTGATTTGTGTAGTTTGGGGGAATGGTGTGTGTGTGTGTGTGTGCAGTGTCCATCAGTATCAGTGCCTGCCTGAGTTAGGAAAATTACATTCCTGGTTCTGTGTGAGATGGGTGTATAAAGCAAAATGAAACATTAGCCCTCATTCTGTTTTAAATTACAGACTAATGTTAATTGTTCTCAGAACTGGATTTTTTTTCCTCAAAATTAAAAGTTTTTTTCTTTTGGATTTAATGAAGTATTGCTAGCTGAAGCCAGTTTGACATGGTGAGAGAGATGTCAGACTGATGAGAGGTGTGCAGCCTGATTTGAAACCAAACCCTGAACCCCTTTAAAGAACAATAAAACATATTTTACATGCTCTTTGTCTGTGCATTTGTTCTCTACCCCCAGGTTGAGTCTTGATTTATGTCTGCCTGGGAAGCTTGCTGTTTCCAAGTTCTGCTTTGAATCCTAATTTACTGCAAGTGAGGTGAAATAGAAATTGAGGAGTTCAGAGATTTCATGCCACCCAGGTGTTAAATTAGGGCAAACTTAACTGTAGTTGGGATACATCTGGTACATTTTCTGGTTTGGTTCTTGGACACACTGTAGGAATTCAGCATTTTGTCTTATTCCAAAGGATTTGTTTATATCACAGATTTTGATAAAGCATTGCAACTGTCTACTTGAACTCTTAAAGAGCAGTGAGGAAGTAGCAACTTTTTATATCATAGGATTTGGTGATGGAAATTTCCCGTAAACCCTGGGTAAGTATCCATCCATCCATCCATCCAGATAGCACGTTTATGTGCTAAGGAACTAAGAGTGAAAAGATAAGACACAGTTCCCACTTTGGAGGACCTCAGTATAGAGGGGGAGTCAAATATGTAAACATATAAACAAATAGTTATAGTGAGTGGTTACAGTATTATGTGACCTATAATACATTGATCTTCTCACCTTTCTCTAATTTTCACCTCCTCAAGTGGTGTCCTTACTTCATTACCTAGCTTAGATTCTGTGGTCCATTGTTTATAGTCAGTCTTGGCTACACAAGTAGATTGCCTTGCCCCCTCTTTTGCTTCATTATACTTGCCTGGCTAAAAACTCCTTTCTTGGTTAAGTTCAGTTTTTCACCTTTTTTGCGCTTATGCAGCTGAACATGCTGATTCAATTTCTATGTTTAAAGTCATGACATCAAGTGAACCCTAGTACCACCTGACAATCCTGTGTTTTCTATTCCATTTACTCTTTCACTCTCCTAGAATAGTCTTACATTTTAACACCTTTCCCATCTTCACTCTCAGCTTATGACCTTCTTGTTTTTAAACTTAGAAAGTAGAAAAAAATTTCCATAGACTCCTGCACATCTACTCACCTACCTTGGATCTGTGGTTGTATGCTCTGTCCTCCAGTTATCCAGAATTTCCTTACCCTATTTTAAGGCAGTCTTTTCCACTTGTGTATTAGATTCCATCCCTTAGCTATTCAGAGGACCTGGATTTAGCCACTATTCCCTTTCTATCCTATTTATTGTTCTCTTTACTACCTCATTCCTATCAGCCTACGACCATGCTATTTCTTCCATATTTTTGGGGGGTGTGGGGACACAGTTCAATCCGTAACAATAGTGTTTTCAGATCTCTGTTTTTACTGATTTTCGAGTTGATCTATTAAATATCTCTTCTGTATTTTAAAAAAATCCTTGTTTGACCCTGCACTTGCCCCTTCAGCTACTGTCCCCCTTTTCTGCTCTTCGTAGTAGAACTCAAGAGTTAATCTACTTGTATTTTCCACTTTGTCTTTTGAACCCAGTCCAGTGAAGATCTTGACTCCAGTAAAGCTGCTCTTGTCAAGGTCATCAGAACCTTCTTGGTACTTAATCCAGTGGTCAGTTCTCAATTCCTTATTGACAGTTGATCACTCCCTCCTCTTTGAAATGTTTTGTTTATTTGCTGTAGTAGAGTAATGGCCCCCCAGGATGTTTTCATCCTAAATCCCTGGAACCTGTGAATATTACCTTACATGGCAAAAAGGATTTAGCAATTGAAAGTAAGGATTTTGAGGTGGGGGGAGTATCCTAGTATATAGCTGCTATTGAGTCCGACTCATGGTGACCCCATGTATGACAGACTAAAATGGTACCTGATGTTCATGTATCATCTTCAAGGTCACCGGCATGTTCAAGTCCATTGTTGTGGCTACTGTGCCAATCCATATCACCAAGGCTCTCCCTGACCCTTGTTGGCTTTCTGCTTCACCAGACATGATGTCCTCCCTAGTGATTGATCTTACCTGATGTGTCTAAAATAAGTGAGTCAGACAATGTTCTGTTATGATCGATAGGATTTTCATTGATTGCCAGGCCTTTCTTCCTAGTCTGTCGTAGTCTGGAAGCTCCTATGAAACCTGTCCGCTGTGGGCAACCCTGCTGGTATTTGAAATACAAGTGGCATAGCTTCCACCATCATAGCAACACACAAGCCACCACAGTACAACAAACTGACAGATGGGTGGTGAGATTATCTGGGTAGGCCAATCTAGTTACACAGATCCTTAAAAGCAGAGAACCTTTTATGGCTGAGGTCGGAGGGAGAGGTGACTATGGAAGAATGGTCAGAGATGGAATGTTGCTGGCTTTGAAGACGGGGGGCAGCTCTAGAGCTTGGAAAAGGCAAGGAAGCAGTCTCTTAGAGCCTCCAGAAAGGAACTCAGTTTGCAAACACCTTGATTTTAGTCCATTGAGACCCACGTTGTTTTAAGTCACTGAATTTGTAGAAATTTGTTAGCAGCAGCAATAGAAATGATGATAGATTTTTGCCTTTAGAACACGACTCTCTTGGGTTTTCTCGTAGTTTACTAGCCACTTCTCAGTTTGCTTCTGGTTCCTCTTAGCTCTTCCAACTTCTGCTCTATCTACTTGGACTTTATTCCCAGTACTCCAGACCCATGTCCACCTTTACTACTTAACTATAATCCAGCCATACTACCCACGCTGCTGTTCCCTGAACAGACCAAGCTCATTCTTTCCCCAAGGAGTTTACACATACCGTTGCACATACTGCTTGGAAAGCTCTGCCATTCTCACATTCCGTTTTCGCATAGCTGGCTCCTTCACTTTCCTCAGAAGACTTCTGCCACTCCATCTAACTACATACATAACCCCAATCACTATCCCCTTTGTTGTTTAAATTTAGGCAGAGGCCAAATTTTGTTGATTTGGTGAGACTGGGAAGGTGGTTTGGGTCACATTGTGCAGGGCATTATGTATTATAGTAAGAAAATTAAAACTATGCTTTTGTTCTCAACTGTGGTTTATTCAAAATGCGCATGTTCAGGCACCAGCCACATCCTTCTGAATCTGAATCCAATTGAGAATCTCTTCCCTGGGCAACGGGGAGCCACTGAAGGTTGGTAGCACAACAGTTCATGGTCAGCTCTGCAATCAAAAAGATTCAAGAAGCTCCTTAAGTCAGAGATCATACCTGTTCTGTAAACTCAGTGCCTATGTATGCATTAAGTATCAGTTGAATGAATGAGAATAAACTGGAGAGCTGAGAGACCAGTTAGGATGATGGGTTGCAGTACTCCAGGACAGGTTTTGGGGCTTCACCTAAGAGAGCGGCAGAGGAATAAGGTAGAAGACTTCAGCTACCAGAGCTGAGATAAACAGGAAAAGGTGATCAGTGTATCCGCATTCACATTTCAAGGACTGGGGTGTGTGGCCAATGGGAAAGATTTGTAAAACCACTCCACCTCTAATTTCCTCCACGGATCACACATCCAGATGAAAGCAGTTAGAATACCTCATTGCTTGCTACCTGGTCAACCACTGTGGAAGAGTTCACTGGCAAGTGTAACGATGTATCAGCCAGGGCAGTTCAGTCTCCTTTGTTGTTTTGGGGTTGGGGTAACTGGGAAGATAAAGGATGAAGCAGATAATACTAGCCAATGTTTGCTGAGTGCTACTGTGCTCAGAATTTCATAATCATCGTCTCATTTAATCTTCATAGGCTATCACGTAGGCCTTGTTGCTAACCCCATTTTATAGATGAGGAAACTGAAGCTCAAGAGAGTAATACCAAGCAGGTGGCAGGGCCAGCATTTGAATCCAGGCCTGTTTCTGATTCTAAAACCGGTACTTAACTCCTCTGCTGTACTGTAATAGTATAATGGGAAGGTGTGCGTTGGGGAGCCTTTATTTTCAGTATGTTGCTGTAGATTTTTGTACTTTTCTCTGGGTTTCAGTAAGAATCCCTGTTAATTGAGCTTCATCTTTATGTTAAATGTGTGTGTGTGTGTATAGCAGTTCCGTCTAGTCAGTG